ACCCTAACAGCCTCCAGGCACTGGAACATCACTTCTACTGCTTCACTGAGTTGGCACGGGGCGGACAAATACAGTTGTGTGTCGTCTGCATATTGGTGGTATTTCATCCCGTGCCATCAAATGATCTCACACAGCGGCTTCATGTAGATGTTAAATAGGAGGGGGGACAGGACCGAACCCTGCGGCACCCCATAATTGAGGGGCCTAGGGGTCAACCTCTGCCCTCCGACCAACACCGACTGCGACCTGTCCGAGAGGTAGGAGGAGAACCACCGAAGGACGGTGCCTCCCACTCCCACCTCTTGCAGTCGTCGTAGAAGGATACCATGGTCGATGGTATCGAAGGCCGCTGAGAGGTCAAGGAGCACTAGGATAGAGGAGTGACCCCTATCCCTGGCTCACCAGAGATCGTCGATCAGCACGACCAAAGCAGTTTCCATCCTTCCGAGGTGGGTAAAATGAAGACCCAGATTGTTGGGGGCAATGTGCTGACTCTGTAAACTGCTTAGAGAAGGCTGTAAAGCACTGTAAAGTGGTATATAAATCTAAGTGCTATTGCTATATCATGTAATAATTTTAATACTGTTTCTAAACAAATAAACAAATAATTTTACTGCATTTACTGTATAAATGCCATTGCATAGATGTACTGAGATATGAATGCAAAATGTATTTTTAATATATCTTCATACATATTTAAATATTTGCTTTCTGTTAAACTAGAACAATGTCATTTTTAAAGGGATTTTGTATTTTCTTTTTAAAGGCTTATCTAAAAAGTCAAAAAATCACCAATACATTTCTATGAACTACAATATTCTGTTACCTGTTCCAGAAGATAAGCCAGCCACAGTGGTTTTTTGCTTTCCTGCTCCATACGGATGAAATACATAAAGGGAGAAATCAGACATGCAGGCTGTGAAACTCAAACCTGAAGAGCTGCTGCTAGAACCTGTCAAATCTGATTGGCTGCTACTATGCCGTGTTCTGCCAAAAGGGCTACCTAATCCAAGAGAAGAACCTAAAGCAGAAAAAGAAAAGCTCAGCAAAGGTACATTCCTTGGAAAGAAAATAAAAACATATTTTGATGAGATTCTTACAATCATCTCTTATTGGAGATGACAACTCATAGCAGTATAAGCTTGAATCCTTTGAAAACATTCTTACAAATTATTTATTTTTATTTCTTTTATTTATTCATTTCTATCCCATCTTTATCATTTTACAAATAACTCAAGGCAGCGAACATGTCCAACATATCTTCTTCCTTGTTTTTTCCTCACAACAAAAACCCTGTGAGGTGGTTTGGGGTGAGAGAGATTGAGTAACCAGCCCAAAATGACCCAGCTGGCTTTCATGCCTAAGGCAGGACTTGAACTCATAAGCTTCCACTTTCTAGCCTAACGTCTTAACCACTAGACCAAACTGGTTATTGGACAAGCTTTCAGCATCATTCCATGAATGACTTAATCAACGCATCTAAATAACTGCTTTCTCTCATCCTGGTCACATTATAAGATCTGATAAAGAAGTCTCTTTCTGCAGCCTGATAAATGCTACATTATTTGAAATGTGAAAGATTTTTTCTGTGTCAACTGTCCTTCTACTAAATTAATTAGTGGGGAGTACAATATAGTCTAGCTTATTATTATAATCATTGACCAGAATGTAAGACTTGGCTAAGCTCAAAAGGAGTTTGGTAAGTTGATAATGGAGCTCAGACCAAACCATTATTTACAAAACAAGTAATTATGTCTGAAAGATCACAATTTGTATTAATCATTTAGAAAAACAAGGCAATTTAAAAATTTTAATTCTAATTTGCTCGTAAATCAAAGTTAATACTATTCAATGGTTTTGTTAAGCCATAAATCATGGTTATAAGCACACGTTTTAATTTCTGTCTTTTGAGAGCACCAGAAGAGCCACAATTTATTCTTGCAGGATTAAACTCTTATTTTAAATTAGGCCTGAATACATCCTTCTGAACTGAACCTGCTTTTCAATAAAAATGGATTTTACCTGGTGAGATAGTTTTAACTGGCATCTTTGATCCACTTTGTAAAGAATTTTCTGTAGGGCAAGTTGAACCTAAAGTTTCTAATTCTACTCGATTAGAAGAAAATACAAGATCCAGGGAAGGAAGTTTCAACATGCATTCTACCCGTGACACAGGTAAGCAGCTGAACTTGATTTGTGAAGGCTGAAGAAAAGAAAAACAGTGTTTATCATACATGGAGAATTGAAATGACAAGAAAGGAACGAGCAACAGAACAATTTTAAAGATGGAATACTATTAATTTTTTTAATGCGAGAGATAAATGTGTGACCATCTAGATGTTATTTAATATAATTCTAAATATCCTTCATTCCTGGATCTGGGCTGATAAGACTATAAATTGGAATTCAAGAACAACTGAAGAGCCAGAAAGTATCTATAGAATATATACGTTGTAGAAGATAATTGTGTTCAGATGATGACCTAGTGTCGGAAATAAGAAAAGTAACATAGTGTTACTTCCGCAGAATGTTTAAAACAAGACTTTTTTTTGGGGGGGGGGATCATAAAAACTTTGTTAAGAAATTCTAAGGAGTATGACACTGAAGAAAACCACATATGGAACACAAGAAGAGTATATTGTAGAGAAGAACTATATAATTAAATACATCAAATGGAAGTTAGTACATCTTGCCTAATAAAAGCATGAGCCCTAGTTTCACATTTCCTGGCTCCTGTGTACTTTGAGCCAATAAGCTGCAAACATCTTAGCAATGAATATTAATTTGTTCCATCTGATTAAACTGCTGAGTCTGGAATACAAGCAAGCAACGTACAATTTTACATTTGGCTACAAGAGTCACTGCCAAACCATAGAAAGATCTTAGCTTAATCCACTTTCATGAAGTTGTGAAACCAAATGTTGCTTTAGATTCCATGGAAAAAGTTAGAATACAATATCTAAATTAATAACATAGTTTTCATTACTAGACAGTGCAACATTTAAAGCAAAGTATGCTCTAAGAGCAATACAAATAAATAAATAAGTGAACAGACACAGTGAGTACATTTCTTTACATGGTATCAATGGTATTTCTCATATGAAGATGAAATAGAAACTAGAATAAACGAAAAAAGTCCCAATTTAAAATGGAATTCATTGTTTTAACATTTGAAAAACAAAATGTTTATCTGTGTACAAATAAGTCCTACCAATTTGCAACAGTCTTCAAGGTATTACATAAGCTGACATCAATGCTCACCTGAACTCTTACATATACCACTACATCAACAGGGAAAGAAGAATATGCTGATGTTGATGAAGATACTAAGGAAGCTGTGGATTCTTCTAAAGGGTCTTGCATATCAAATTGCCCAATATCTTCATCTTGTGAACTGATGGCTTTAAAAGAATAAGGAAGGGATTTACATATAACTTCCGAAAAATAAAAATTAGATTATAAAAATTATGGTGGAAAAGTATGATACCTGTATAATTCCTTTCTATTGGAGTTATAGGTATTGTTTCAAGGGCCTTTTCTAGAAAGTCCAACAGGCAAGGGCTAATCACCATTTCCTCAGGCAAAGACTGAAGTGCAACCCAAGCATACAATTTTGCTGTTTTTACACCACCACTTCCTTTAGCTTTGGCTGAAATAATTAAAAAATGAAGTGAAATACCACATCACAAACAACAAATAGAACACAAATAAAAAGGTAAGAAAAGTTAATGATAGGTCAAAGTTGAGGTTACCTTAACCCAATTCCTTGCTTAAGTTAATAATTTATCTCTGGCTAATCCAACAGATCCTCACCATTTTTGTAACTTGGGTTTTTGAGTTTGTTTTGGTAAACCATAATCCCATAAAAAGGTTTGTCTTAAGTGACATATCAAGTTACAGCATTAGGATCTGCTCAAAAGAATGCATGACATAAAACAGCAGATACAATTCAACATGTTCCTAACTAAAGCACATGCCTGTCTTGCCACATTGTCTGAACATGTTCAGCATATGCCAAGTGTCCTGTAAATAAGCATGTAATTCAAATGCTTAGAGCCGAGGTGGCGCAGTGGTTAAATGCAGCACTGCAGGCTACTTCAGCTGACTGCAGTTCTGCAGTTCGGCTGTTCAAATCTCACCGGCTCAAGGTTGACTCAGCCTTCCATCCTTCCAAGGTGGGTAAAATGAGGACCCGGATTGTTGGTGGCAATATGCTGACTCTGTAAACCCCTTAGAGAGGGCTGAAAGCCCTATGAAGCGGTATATAAGTCTAACTGCTATTGCTATTGCTTTTCTAATACTAAGCAAAAAAAAACCTTCATGGTCAATACTTCCCCCCATTATTAACATATATTAAATTCAGAATTTAATAGACATTAAGGCATGTCCAACTCCTGGTATTCATCATTTTTCACAGTTTCAAGGAACATGAATTAAGAATGGCAATGGAAAAGATTTGCAAATCACTCCCATTCCCTTTAGCCTTCTAAAATGATGAAAGATGTATGAGTTGCACGCTTCTAAGAAATCTTTGCAAATATAGTCGATTTTTTAAAAATCAAACTAGTTGCATGCTTCTAAGAAATCTTTGCAAATATAGTCCATTTTTTAAATATCAAACTACTACCTAAAATAGCTCCTCTATTATCCAAATTTCAATAAAATGTAGTCAGAATTCAAATTTTTAGGTATTATAAAATGTGTATATGCTTAGAGACAATTCTGAAATTAAGGATTTCTATTTAACATTCTACATTAAGGATCACTGATTTCTTGTCTTCCACATATGGATTTCAAGCATATTTAGAAATTGTGAAAATTGTCCAAATTTTACTTCGTTTTCCCAAACATTGACACATTAATGCAGCAAATATAGTGAGCACAAAGATAGACTAAAGAATATAACAGAAACCATTTACAATAGTTGATAAAGTAAATTTTAACAAAGAGAAAAACTAATAAGAAAATAATCAGAAGTATTAAACATAAAAAAATTATGTCCAAAAATGTATCACATCATCAAATAGAATAGTTTATTGTTACAAATACTGATTTTAGTATTGGCCTCTACACTATGGCAAAAGATTACTAAAGTTAAAATACAAACAATGAAAAGAGAAATGTTTACCTGATGGAATAGGTGGAGGTTGAGGAGTTAGTAAGGTTTTAGCTTTGATACGGGTAGGAGGAATAACTTCTTTCATACTATACAACTTTGATTCTTTGGAAAAGGTTCTTTGAAGTGATGAGCCTCGAGATGTATTTGGCGACTCAGTTTTTAACATCTTAGAATTGTAATGTAGCTGAAACAAGACAAAATAAGATTAAAACCATAGGTTTCTGCATAGCCAAAACTGCAGGGGGGGGAGGGGGCAAGCAGCAGTGTAAAGAATAGAAGAGCATAAATGACAAATAACACTTTAACTGAAATGGAAAATATAGGGACTGGCAAAATTTTGTTGGGCTAAATTAGATAAAAAAATGTTCTGGAAAGTTAGATTATTACAGCCGACCAGTATTTGATGTACAGGTATTCCTTATTATGTGGAACTACAGTATTAAATAAGTTATAAAATGTTTAGAACTATCTGACTAGATTTAATTAATCTATTTTATTTGTAAATGTTGTTAAATGATGCCTGAAATTGTTTTTGAAAAGAATTCCAGTATCTTTGCCATTTCAAAACAATAGTACTACAGCAAAAAGAATGTTTTCAATGTGAAATGTATATTAAGGACAAAGAAAGAATATCTTGTAAAACAAAATATATTTAGATGCAAAAACCCTCTCTGAAAATGAATGTTTATCTTCTCCATCAGCAACTTAATAACATGAATCACTTTTAAAATGTAGATCTTGTTGGCAAAATATGCCCCACTTGTCACACTCCCATTTCTTTTTCCTAGCCTTTAATTGCCAAGGAAAAAGCTTTAAAGTTTTCTAAACATATGCAATGTTTGTCAGCCCTTTTTACTACTGTACCAAATGCCTCATTTTTCTTTCTCTTTTCTTCAAAACCCTGCTGCCACAAAATTCCTGATGTCTCACTATCTGAAATCCTATTCAGATAGGATTATGTATGCAAATACATTTGATTTGGCAGTGTATTTAAAGCATCAGTTTGAGGTAAATCAGTGTGCCACTGATTGGATGTGCTACACATCCAAAGTGGATGTAGCACGTATGTACAAGAATGATACTATATCCAATATAGAGGTAAATAAGAAGTGATACAGAGAAAAGGATAACAATTATTGCAGGAAACATTAGTAACTTGTGTGACTGACAGTGCCACTGATCTCTTGAATTGGCAATGTGGCACATTGATTTACCTCAAACATTCTTCAAATAATTACTCATCCAATCTTACTAGTATTTCCAGGGATAAAGGCATTAATGCTTATCTGAAGTAACACAGGCATTTCCTAGCGTATTTACATGTTTCAAAGCAATAACTACATTACATGACAGGCTCAGGAAAGTAATGTGAAACTACAATTCTATTTTATCACACTATATGGAGCAAATGACAAAGTTTTTATTTTCTACCTTAACATCTACACCAGGAATGTAAAATATTGTTGTTTCCACATCAGTAGACTTTGTTTGAAGAGATGCTGGTACTTTCTTTCCAGCAAGTAAGTGGGTAGTTGATGCATAGTTAGTTTGAAATTTCCTTTTTTTAGAGGGAGAGTCTTGATCTAAACTTCGGGAACTGCGATCATAGGTCCTAAATATATATATATATATAAATAAACATAGTCATTATTTAATTACCCTGGATATAAAGGCAATATTAAGTCATTTCAAAATCTCTAAATAGTCATTGTTAGTTAAACTCACTGATAATATCTCAGAGAACTGAGGAAATATTTGACATGACTTGATTATGCTCTAGCTTACATTTGGCTTAAGGTTGTCAGGCACACAGCATAGTAGGAAAGAATCTTTATCAACTAGGAAGAAGGGAACGTAGTAGATCAATTGGTTAGGAGCCTGGGTTGGAGGTTAGCGAGCCCAAGTGAAACCTAAGTGCTGCTACGTGGCAGGGTGAACTCCTGTCATTTGCTCCAGCTCCTTGATGGAAATATGAGAGGATGCCTGTAGGCATAAACCCCTGCCCCTGGGAAACAATGATGTCACCAGCTAATCCTTTCAACCCAGAAGCACCTTAAATGATGCCCTCTGACACAAATGGGGAACTAGGAAGAAGCCACTAAAGCTTCTATCAACAGTCCAATTCAATTTTTATATACACTTTAAAAAAAATTACAACACTTCTTTCTTCCACTGCTCACTACTTCTCACTACTTAATAGACTTTTTACTCTGCAGTTTTAGTCTTGAAGCTGGATAGCTGTTGGTTGTTAATGACACGCTTGTCCTGAGAAACACTCTCAACTTTCACAAATATAATTAAAGTCTGGCTTGTGATTCAATGGGTTTAGCTATATATTTTCTCTAGTTTTGTGCATTATTCAGAGTCTCCTGGAGTTGGGCAGCCAAGAAATTTAAAGATAAGACAAGATGAAATAAGGATTTGTTCCGGATTTCTATGAGTAAACTTTTAAAACAGCAAAATATTCTTCTTCTGTCTACCAGAATCCTCAGAAAGTCATCACTACATCATCGGGAATCTTCCAAAACAAATATGAGAGGTTATGTGGAGGTGGGAGAAGAGAATCTCTTCCATGATCAGAGTCTATTTTGTAGCCAAGCCTATTTTTTTAATGGAACAAATTCTTCTATTTCTGTAAGTGCATTATTTTACTTGCATATTTGTAATGTGTTTAATTGCATTTAACAATTTCTTTCCTCTGGCACCATGTTCAGTCCTCCATTCATAACAAAGCCAGAAATGCTGGATGTTTATTGAATTAACAATAATAACGTCATGCTGTAAAAGGTCATACAAATTGCTTAATTGCTGATTAAATGAGATTTAATAAGCCAACATTTTCCAAAATATGTCCCATACCCGGTTATGAGTATTTTATATGCAATTTAATTAAGATGGACTGTTTTAATTACACAATTTTATGACAAAGTTCTTGGCACAAAAAAGAGGACATTATTCAAGTTGTCAAATTGTCTTTATATGGAATATTGCAACTGATTGATGATCAGTATTACTAGAGATTTCATACAAGTTTCAACATAAAAAATGTGGCTACTGCTCTAAACATATGGTAGTTAGGTAAACCTGCTCAGCTTTTTGCAGGATTTTACCTCCTTATGCTTATGTCATCATGTTCTTGCTGGAGTGTTGTTGGATGAAGTACACACTTTCCACAGTCAATTTCAACTCTCACATCAAGTTCAAAATCAATATTCCTCTCAGTAGTTGTTCCAGTTACACTTCTGTTGGCTGGAGATGTTGGCCAACGTTCAGTAAACAGTTGGTGAACAGCAGCAAAACCTGTAGCTTTCTTACGAGCAGCAGACCTGCAAAATATTTAAAAAATATTTTAAAACGTAGGTTTAACAAACTTATCTTACTGCATCCAATTTGTTAAAATATATTTCCCTTGATATTTTTAACACTGTAGATGAACTCAATAGTTAAGCTAAAGTGGAGGAGCTAATGTTGCAATGACACGACATGCGATCTTGGAGCTCCAAGATACAAAAGTTGATACTTTTGGACCCAAAGAGACAGTGATAGGGAAGAGTATGTTCTGCTGATCTCAGGGACACTGCAAAGTCCCTGATTGATCCAGGAGAATCTTTTTTTGCCGGTGACAGAAGCACAGCCATTGAAGCTGCTGAAGTTGGGACAGCTCCGAAATGGGAGGAAAACGGAAAAAGAAAGTGTGTCCATCTGGTGAGGAAATCTTATTATTATAGAAGAAACTATCCACCCCCCAAAAAATTAAAGCTTAATTAAATTTGAAAACAGAAGAGAACAAGAAGCGAAATTAAGCTACATTAGACAGTGTGTTATTTCTTTTACGGATGGAACGTTTGCAAATGTTTCCTATTCTTTAAATTGAATGGATTAGTTTTTCTTCTACTACTTTTTATATTCTTTTTTTATACCTATGGATTAAAATCTTTTTCCTTATTTTTATAATGTTGGATTAGATGGGGGTTTTTTTTTTGGCTCCATTTAAGAATTTTGTTTTCTTTAATCCTGGAATATAAAGAAGATATAAAAGGGATACAAAGAGGGCTGTAA